TACTCATTATGAAAATTAAACCCCAATTTCGTTTTCTCTCTTTCTAATAGCAAACTCAATATTATTCTATGTTCACCACCCCCCCCCCCCCCAGCTTCCGCGAATGGGTACCTCTAGATTTGGAATTTAATCGATAAAATTTTAAACTTAAATTTAAAAAACATTTAAAAATTAAATATATAATTAAGGCATTGTATTTATCGATGGTTTTGTTCATTCATGGAAGGCTTTCTTTTCCTCAAAGGGCCGGGCCTGAAAATTTTTTTTTAAAAAACCCGGGCCGGGCCGTATTTTTTTAAAAAATTTATACAACATGAATTATTATATTCGTCAATTAGATATGGTTATAATGATTATATATAGTTATGATTAATATAATGTTTGGTGAAAGTTAACACTAGCTAACACTCACAGTATCTATTACATAATAAAATTATAGTTTTCCTGCCATGGAATAAATACGTAAAGGATTAAATAATATATAATATATGTTATATTTTTTATTAATTAAATTATCATTTTTATTTTTTTTATAAATACATAGTATATTCTCAAAATATTATTTACACAAATTTTTAATAGTATCAATTTGTTATATATCTTTTTAGAATATAAAAAAATAAAATATGTTTATAGTGTTGTTAAATGGCTCGTTTTGAACCGATTTTTAAAAACGGCTAACTCAGTTTTTTATCCAAAAATATTATGCCTGAATATTTTGCTCATAGAAGAGGCAAAGGTCTAGACAGATAGTATAGAAATTTCGAGGCTTAGTCAATATTTTTTGGCAAAATTATTAAGTTAGCCGTTTTTAAAAATCGGCTCAAAACGAGCCGTTTAACAACATTAGCTAATATACTTGCTTATTAAATGATAATACTCGCCGAAAAATATAATAAAATACGAAATAATGAATTTTTTTATATACCAGGTCGAATATAATATTCAAAAATCCCGAGCCGGGCCGGGTCCCAAAATTTTTAAAATCCGGGCCTGGCCGTAAAAAATTTTTGTAAAAAAAATCCGAGCCGGGCCGAAATTTTTTTTAATCTGAGCGGCCGGGCCGTACAAATGGTGCCTCTGCAGGTCTCTGCTTTTCCTCTTATTTTCTATGCCTTCGGATATTATATAATCGCAAGAATCCATATTGTTAGCCTGAGTTATAATTAAGCCTTCTTTCGAAATCCTACTTTTCCTTTTAAATGGGAAATAATAAAGATTCCAATTTGTACTCTCTTCATTTCTGCAATTTTATGAATTTCTCAGCCATTTTCCTTTTTTTATTTTATAAAAAAATCTTACTCTTTAATTGTCAATCATGGTCCAGAGAATTTGTTTTTAAGTTCTAGATTAGTATTGTTAAATGGCCCGATTTTTAAAAATATCTGATCCAATATTTTGGCCAAAATAATTTTCACAATCTTCGGGATTTTGTAAATACATCTACATCTGATATCTATGAGCAAAATTTCTAGGATTGCTTAAAATTTTTGGCTAAGATATCGGATCAGCCGTTTTTAAAAATAGAGCCATTTAACAGTACTGATCTAGATCCATGCCAAATTGAAATATTTCACTTCCATTTTTTTTCTTATTTAAATTTTCTTTTTCTAATTTTCTTTCTAATTCTATTTTATTTTACTTTATTTATTTTTTTCCTTCTTTTTTTAAAAATACTTCCTTATGTTCATCTCATTTTTTTCTTTATAGCTTTTTTTTAAAATCTGTTAATTAAAACAATTTAAGAAATATTAAAGTTTTAAACTCCCTACTATAAAACTTAAAAAAAACACCTTAATTTAATCTATGGAATCAAAATCTAATTGATTTGCTGACGCCAGCGTCTACATGACAGGATTTTCACTGGATGCAAACCCCCTTCAAAAATCATTACCTACCCCCCTACAAAAATTCTGCCGCCTTCAGCGGCGGTATTTCTTTAATATTATACCTATTTATTTATTAATACTCTTTTCAAAGAATTTATAAAGGATAACTTAAATTAATCTATCTCTACTACCAACTATCGATATTTTGTGAATATAAAGAATTTATTTTTTAGATAATAAATTCAATTAAAACCTCCATTATTTACAATGAATTAATTATATAGGCATTATAAGCTTGCTGAAATATCTAAACCTTTTAAATTACACTTAAAAGGAAAGTTTATTTGGAAAACAATGTGTATGATTGTTTGCAATGTATAGATTTGGTCGATGAATTGTATTATAATAATACTATAATTAAAATATTAATTTTTACAGCAATATATTTTGTCCTATTTCATCTCAAAATTTAATAGATAACCCCCAAAAAAATTTATCCTACCCCCATTAAAGCAGCTTACCCCCTATTCCTCAAAAAATAGGATGCAAAATGTTCCTACCCCTCCCGCTCATGTAGACGCTGGCTGACGCAATGCACTATTTATGTATTTTTTTTTAAATGCTTTCCTGTTCGGAATTTCTTAAACATATTTAATAGTTTTTCCAAAATTAATGATTAATTGTCTTCTCACGTCAATAGGTAAATAATCAGCGAAAATAAATTTATTTGGCTTAGCATATAGCGTGCAAAGATTAAATTCATTACGCATGAGGACACGAATTATTTTTTTCCCCACTTTGTCTAAGTTTGAAAATGTCTTTTTAAATTAAACCTTTGGATGAGATGATAATTTTTTCCTAAAATCTTTGTTTAAATCTTTGCGCATGGAAAATAAATTAGGCCATTCCTAGAAAATTTTCAGCGTTGGATGATTTTATAGCGCCAAGTGTTAAAGATAGAGAAATTCGAATTTATGTTATCATGTATATCGCATTGCAATTAAGCCTCTCTTATATAAAATTTATAATTTCGTATAAACAGTCGCAATTTAATATAAATAAGAATATGGTTATTCTTAAAAAAAAGATAATACTATAATAATTAAATGATAACTAATATAATGCAAATTTAAAAAATTGGTAAAGTTTAATTAAATAAAAATGAGAAACATAACAGTTTCTCCAATTATCTCTCATCAAGACATTGCAAGTGTGAGTACACCAGAAATAACTCCCAGAAAATTAGTGCGAGCCATTTTAAATATGACTTGCCCGATTTTTTCAACTTAAATAATGGCCTGCTCTTTTGCTGAATGTAAAAATTCTCATTGGAAACTCTGTGTGAGAGATTATATTATTTGCTCCCAGGAATATTTTTGTTAGATAGAAGACCCTGTCCCCGAAAATTTACAAAATTGAGATGAAGTGTGTAGAGAATATTATTAACAGTAGAGTATTTTTCTGCAAAGGCCAGCTCACGAACATGGAAATCGATAAAAATTTGATCCGTTTAACGTGAGATAAAGCAATTAGAAAATTTTAGAGGTATATCATTTGATTTTTTACTCTGACACATTAGAATAAACACATATCCTAGGTCGAGAATGGAAGTCATGTTGGACTTTCTAAAAGTCTATCCGTGGAAACAGCATCTACATGAGCGGAAGGGGGGGGGGGGGGGTAGAAACAGTTTGCATCCATATTTTTTGAGGGGGTAGGCGCCATAAATTTATTGGGGGGTTATCTAATAAATTGATGAAATAGAGAAATATATTGCTGTAAAAAATAATGTTTTATTAAAGATCTATAATACAATGATATTAATAATCATCCACCAAATATTCCTGCCAAATAATATACTATAATAATGCATTCATTGTAAATGTGGGGGTTTTTAATTAAATTCATGTTGCGAAAATTTTTTATACTCATAACATTTTGAAAGTTGGTAGTAGAGCTAAAATAATTTTAGATTCTTTTAAAAATTTATGAAGGGAATACTATTATAATTAAAAATTAGTAAATAATAATATGGAAATATCGCGATGCGAAGGTGGCGTAGATTTTTTAGGAGGTTAGGCTTAGGTTTATGAGGGGGATTTGCATCCAGTGAAAATCCTGTCATGTAGACGCTGGGAGTTCATAGATCTGTATATTTATGTTGTGGATATTAGTAAGATAGTCCAAGCGTAGCTCTGCTGTTTCATATAGCGATAAAGGGCAATTGCGCTTATTATGACGTATGACGTATGTTACTAGCAAACAGCTCAATTTTTAAAAAAGGTTAACACAATATTTTAAAAAATATTAAGCAAACCTGGAGATTTTATTCATAGATGGCAGAAAGGTTTGAGCAACTATTAACAAAAGCTCGAAGCTTACATAATATTTTTTACCTAAAATATTGGGTTAGCCATTTTTAAAAATCAAGCTTTTTAACAACACTATATGTGAGAAAGCACTCATACATTAAAGTTAGTGAATAAATTACAAAATTTTATAGTGAAGCAGGTGGGGAGGGGAGTATATTTGTCAAATGTTACCTGTTTGATATATCTGCCTCCTATAGACTGTGGATAGAAGACTTAAAATAATTGGAATAAATGAAATGTCCTTAAATTATTTTCTGGTATATTATATTTAACTTTTAAGAATTCCCCCCCCCCTCTCTCTGCGTTGATTTTAGTCGCCTGTGATTGAACAAAATAAAAATAAGTTATTGTAACTATATTTTTAGATTTTGGAAAAGATCAAGCTATTACTGATTAAAATTGTTTTACCATAGTTTGTAACAACACTTGAAGGGTGGGGAAGGGGGGGGGGGAGGCTGGGGCTCGAGCCCCCTAATTTACGAGTCCCAAAAAAAAATCAATAATGATCTTTTTACAATACCATGTTAGATAAAAAAAAAAGAGATCATTTAGAAAAAAATTTTGAGCCCCTGAGAATGTACTGACTAATGAGTATAGATGTCGTAAAAGTTGGCCGTTTGAAAATAAATCCAACAAACAGAATAATTATCGTTAAACAATTTTTAAAGGGCTAGACAGAAACAATCATTTTTACTCTATCATTAATTAAACTTAAAACAATCTAATTTATTTATTCCTTATTCATTTTTTGAGAAATGTTTTTCTGACAAATTATTTTCTAACAAAAGCTAACTAATTTTTAGTTTTGTTGAAATGGTAAAATAAAAAAAAAATATAATTTAAACTTTAATTTTTAAAGGCTAAGTGTGATAGTACAGCTAGAGATTTTGTGTTATCTGTATTTTCAAGTAATATAGCCATTCTATGTACACATGATGTCGAAATACTATCTCAAAAAAATAAATTAACCTTTGTAGAAATGTTACAAAAATTTAGTCAGTTACCATTAGAAGGTTTGCATTAATGATAAATCTATTGTTTATTATGAAATAGCTCAAATAAAAGATCCAAATGGAAATGTTTTAAATATTCAAAATTTTTATATGAAATTCATTGAAATGAAAAATCAATGTATTCAACCACTTATTGCTAAAAAGCTTTTAAATGAAGCTGTTTCAAAATATATTACCAATGTTAATGCAGATGACACAATTTCAATTGAATCTATTATGCAGAAAGACACAAATATTACTGAATTTTCAAATGCCCCATTTATTGAAAAAACCATTTTATCACAGAATAAAATCAATTGTATAATTTTTTTTTTTTCAAATTACTACATATATTAGTTTTATTTTAATGAATAAATCTATTTATTACATTTTTTATAAGATTAGTTATATTTTATTATAATTTTTTAATTCTATAATTTAAGTATTATAATTATGGCAATTACTTTGGTGAATATTGACAAAAACAAACTTATTGAAATATATTTAATATTATCTTTTTCTTTTTATAAATATTTTCCCTTATTTATAAGGTGGCATATATAAAATTATGTATCCATTATGCACCCCTTGGTTTGATGATTACAGAAATACCTTTTTCCATGTGATGCTTTGTAGTGAGCATGAATACCTAAGACATTTTATAGCCTGTAATCAATATAAATTGTATATAAATTTTTTTCACAATAGACTAAAAATTAAATATTTGAAAATATAATAAGTTGAGATAATACTAGTGTTATAGAATTCGTTTTGAATTTTGATATTATGTTTGTACTAAGAAAACATTATAATTAACTTTTTTTGAGCTTCATATTATCTTTTGACTCCATGCTTAAAATTTTGATCTCTTGTTTAATGGTATTTTCTTATATTATTTTTTTTAGCTGCTGCCTACATCACATTATCCATATATCTTTAATATAAAAAACCATATAAAAGGTATATTTGTAGTGAGTTCAAATAGCACAGATCCATTGGCTGATTTGGATAACCTTGTAAAGCAGCAATTAGAACACCAGGGTAACCGCAATCTTCCTCCTTATTCTCCTCCCACTAATACACAATCATCCAATCGACCCAATACAATCGATTACAACAAAATCAATAATCCACCTTTCCCACTCAATAGCAGTGTATCAACATCCTCTATAAGTACAACCATGCATCATGGGAACTATAAATGGTTCTGCCCCAATGTTTTTCACTTTCATGTTATACTGCATGACCCTAGTGAGGCTGATGATTCAAAGTTTGTTTTCAAATTTATTATTTAATTTTATTTTTAGGGGGAATGATGGTATTTTTGAAGAGTTTCTAAAAAAAATTATTATTAGCAATATTATTTCCATTTTATTTTTGTAACTTGTTAGGTAATAAAATTCTTTTTCTTTGTTAGAATTAGCAAATCTTCTCAAAATGGAGACTTGGTATATTCCAAAAAAATGTGCCTCAATTAGATTATACATTAATTATAAAAAAAATTTCAAAAATACTTGGTAGTATTACTGCATTCAAAATTGTATTTATGATATGGAATTGTTTAAATTCCCTATTATATATATTTTTTTAGTTTTTATCGTGTTTTTGTTTGATCACAGGAGAGTGCATTTATTTTTATTTGATATTTAATCTTTTTTTTAATCAATCAATGAAAGATCGTCAGAAAACTTGATAGTACTGAAAAACAGTAAGTGGGTAGATTGTAATAGCTCAGAAATTTTTGAAAAGGTTTTTCACTGGGGCACATTATTATTTTTGTCCAGTTTATCTCGTTAAATAATTTTATGCAATTTTTCTGGCATGGTCCATAATAATATTTTATGAAGGAAATAAAAATAATTAATCTAATTCTAAGCTTTAAAAAAAATTTAGACATAAAAATATTTAGCAATATTTGCAGTCCCGCACAATAATTTTTTTGAGAATGTAAGTCACGTGATTAAAAAAAATTAATTTGATGTACTCAACAATGTTAGCATCGAATTTTATTTTACCTAAATTAAATATGGGATAAGGCTTGATGTGGGCTAAGGCTAATTTACATAAATTAACCATGTTTAAATTTAATTTATCATATAAATTAGTAGTGCTGTAAACATTTTTAAAAAAATCGAACGCGTTCAACGTTCATTGACAAAAATTGAACGCGTTTACGTTCAAATTCAAAAAAAGGAACGCGTTCAAGTTCATGAACGCGTTCATGCGTTCAAAATTTTATGATAAATTTTTTTTTAAATTTAATTTAATATAAATAAATGCCTTATATTTTTCAACACAATATATTAGCCATGATAAAAAAATAATAGTTTTATTTTGATAATATAATTATAAATACAATATAATAGAGCGATAAAAAAATTAATTTATAAAAATTTTTTCTTAAATACTAATATTAAAATGCCTTATTATTATAATTAACTATATATATTATGTAATTATTTTTACTTAGAACAATTAAAATAAATTATTAACTGGTTATATAGTTATACATATTATATAATATAAAATAATTAATGTTACAATCAGATGTCTTTTTAAATTGGAGCTTGAAGATGTTGACAATGATATAATACTTTTTGGACACATTTTACATTTGGTAACTATTGAATTACCTTTTGATTTTAACAGTGAAATATTTTTGATATTTGAGCCATGGTAATTCTAATTCATCTAATATTGAATTTTGATTTTCAGAATCTGATGATGAAATATTTATATCCATGCAAATGCTAATCTATTAAATTAAAATATAAAATATTCAAATTAATAAACTTTAATCTTATCTTCTCTAGCAGTAGCACGTTATGGTACGTTAATTGCAATATGAAAGAGGAAAAAGTAAAAACAGCTGATTAAAAAATATAAGACTTTTTTGTTAAAAAATTGGATTAAATATTAATTTTTCAAATAAATAAAAATATAAGATTTTTTGTTAAAAAATGCGGATTAATACTAATTTTTCAAATAAATAAAAATAAAAAGTGTTTTTAAAATTGAACGAACGTAAAATTGAACGCGTTCATCAAAGAAAAGGAACGCGTTCACGTTCAAAGTTCGTCAAAAAAAAAAGGAACGCCGTTCATCACCTTTTTTCAAAAAAACGAACTTCGTTCACTAACGCGTTCATTTTGAACGCGTTCGTTTACGATACTATAAATTAGTGATATGCATAGGGCCTAATTTTTCAAACCCAACCTTCCAAAATTTTTTTGAAAAAGTTTCTGCCAGTCCGACTCGAACCCGAAACTTTTTTTAAAAAAATAGGCCCGAATCTTTCCGGCCTGGTATCTCTTATATGAATTGATGTGTATTAAATTGTTATTTTTTGTAAAATGTTTATTATTATTATTATATATTTTGAGATTAATTTGAGTAAAAAAGGCTGATTTTGATTTTTTTTACATTTACAAAATAAAAGAATAAGAAAAACTCGTTTATTATTAAAATACAATACATGAATCATAGTCTAACTACTTACAAAAATCCTATTTTATTCCTCGTAATTAACTGTTTAATTCATCCAGTAAATGTTGATTGTTTGAGAAAATTAATCCCTCGAGAACATTTGATGGATTAAATAAGGCGGGTTCATTTATTTATGAGTATGGACTTAAATTATAAACTGTTATATCTTGATCGTCAATTTTTACTTTGAGTCATGATATTTATTAAATATTTTTTTTAAAAAAAAATACATTAATCTATCTATTTAATCTGATAATTATACAACCTTCATTCATTAAAAAAAATTTGATAAATGTTTGAAATTATTCCCAAAATTATTTTGACATAAAATGAATAATAATTTTTTTTTTATCATTAATAAACAAAACCAAAAATTCCAATTTATAATTGAAATTTTTTTTGAACCGATAAAAATTGATTTTAAAAAAATCCTTATTATCTCAAAAATAGCGCTCATCAATAAATAAACGAAATTTTTGCGTGTATATAATTTAGCCGAAGTTATTAAGATACTGCAGGCTGTCACATTTTAAACGAAAACATTTTTTTAAAAAATACTAAAATAATCGGTAATGAACCGAATAGTCCTCAAGGGTTAATAAAATGGAGGATATTTTTTATGGACCTAACCCATATCCCAAATTCTTTATTTAGTTTAAGCTAGTGCAGGCCGTCATATTTTAAAAAAAAATCCTTATTGAACCCAACTGATGGTCCTCGAGGGTTAAAAAAAATGGAGGATTATTTTTATTGACCTAAACCTGTATTATTATTATTTTTTAGAACTCAAACTTTATACGAAAATATGAAAAATATGTACGGAAATCACTCGTGCCATTTGTTGAGAATCAATGATTATAAGAATTCCTTGTTAACGGTAACAAATTTTTTTTTGTTAAATTATATATCTGCTTAAATTTTGATTATCCATTTTCTTTGTTAAAATTCTGGGGAAAAAAACGATACAATATAAAAGGAAAAGTAGGAAGCGTTAAATAATTGAAAGGTATCTATGAAAAGGTTGCGCCAAATCCTATCATTATGATTGGTCCTTTTTTGAATTAGTGTGGAACCGAGGATCTTTCACTTTAATAATGTTTCTTTTTTTAAACCCATTATGAATTATACTGGTTTGAAATAAAAGGCTTTCACAATTTTTTGATCCTATTTTTTTTACTCCACAAGGTCCGTAATAAATAATTTTGTTACAAATTGTCTGACCCGACCTAAATTTTTTTTTCTAAGACGAAAAAATGCGTAAATTTATCTAATTCGAATCTTTAAAAATAAATGCAAACTCCTAGCCTGGTCCATAAGAATATTTTTCCAAAAGTTGTACAGCTCTCTACTTCGGTCGATTATTTTTTTTAAAAAAAGTGCGCTGCTAGTGACTGATCTCTCTCCCCGGCGCTCGGATTTAAATCAAGTCCATAGGTGCCAGTGAGGAAAATAATGACATATTTGTTTTTTTCATGACACGATTATCTATTTTATAAACAGAAAAGGGTCGATAAACGCGAGAATCCAATTTTGAATGGAGGAACAGATATTCAACTCAAATCTTTGGAAGAAGCCTTGCTCGAAGGTTGATTATTTATTCAGGGCTTGCATGTTAGATATTTATAGATAACAGGGTTTACGACTTTCAATGACCATATAGAAAACTTTAAGAGATGAAACATTGAAAGTTTTTATGTTTAATTTTTTTAGAATATTAGAATTTTATTAAGTTGTTTTTTTATGGTTTTTAGTTAACCCTATATATATAAGGTTTAAAGTTGATGCCGATAAATTTCATATTGGCGCACAAAGAGAGCATTTATTTAGTCAACCTAGTAAATAAATGTTTTCGTTCCCTAATAGTCTCATTATCAAATCCATCATCATTCATTCCCGACCTATTTAATTTTTAATGAAATTTTTATATACGTGACCAAACATGATTGCGGATTTAACATTTTTTTATCGTGTTTTTTATATAAAACTATTACAAAAATTTAATTGCATCGGGTTATTTACTCATATAATATTTGTAATCTAATGTTGTGTTATATAGGTATATCTTGCCAGACTAGACAAAAATATTATTTTAAATTTTTCAAGATTGTCTTAATTATCCATTTCATTTTATATAAAAGTGACAAGAATGTATATTTAAAAAGTTACTTCTTATTTATTACTAAAGTAGTATTTCTATTGCCTCTGCTTACAATTTCTATTTTATTTTTAAGAAAAGTTCGCCTTTATAATGGATAGAATATTATGTACGATTATTTTACGTGTAAATATAAAATTTATACCAAAAAAATTCATTAATATAACCATTTTTTTTTGTTTGATTTTGTCTACCTAAACAATAAAGTCATTATTTTTTTTTAAGATAGAAAACATAAAATGTAAATAGAACATTAATCGAACAACATATTATTATAAATATAAAATATTTTATACCTTATATTGAAAAAAAATAAATAGCAACAAGTCACCCACTGCAATTTAGTGATCCATTGTCCTCACAACCTCAGGTTTAAAAACACAATATATATATAGCTCGGTTTAAGGATTTAGAAGGGGAGCGAGCGATAGGGTGCAAGGGACAGGAAGCTGATGGGGAGTCAACTTGAGCCTATACTATGGAGTATTGGGATCAGGGTTTTTTTAGGACAATTGTGATCATATCTTTTTACATTATTTGCATCTAAATACGAACTAAAAGCAACAAAAATATACGCATTTTTAAAAAAGTTAACACATAGATAATATATCGTGTTATAAAAATATTTTTTAACAAAGGGTAAAATTAAAGGGTCATCATATCTAAGACAAAATAAATTTTGCAATTTAGGGGTAGGGGGTATAAATGAATTTTACCAAAAAATATCATGTCATCAAAATATGTAGATAAGCAATTAGTGGTTAGAAATAACTCGTGCCTATTAAAAAAATTTATATAAATGTAAAACAGAGCACAAATTACTAAAAGATGATTGCTTATTATTTGTATCAGGCCAATTAACTATATTTTATCGCAAAACACTTTTTCGCACATTTTTTTATCGCGAAAGAGCATTGCCGCAATCGTATTTCCTCGAATTCATTATTTTAAAGACATTAATGCAAAATAGTGAATATATTGTGATGGCCCTTGTTAATACAAAAACAACATGTTAAATAATAATTTATCATTATAAGTTCATAATAATAAGCGCGAAAATGTTTTAACGGGTATTTTGTTACTTTAAGTAAGAGTTTGTCTAAAATGCAAGCTTTTCCTGATGTGATGAAAAATTAACCTAACAATTTCTCTTCCTGATCTCTCTCAATAGGGGATATTTTGGGCCAAGTTTTCTTTACCCCGTTAAATTTTTTACACTCTACCATCCAACATAAATTTTGCAATGTAATAGATGCGCTTTATCCATTTAGAGGGTAAATTTTAGAAAATATTTCATTATATATTCTAGATTTTATGATTATAATATGGCAGATATTCCTTTAAAAGAATTTATCTCGAGTGTTTATTATATTTATATACCTTAAATTATCTGTGCACACTTTTGTTAAGAAAATTTCGACTCTAGGAGGGTTGGGCCTGTAAAATTTTTTTTAAATATAATAGTTTAATATAGGTATCAATATTATAAAAAAGCTAATAAAGAATATGTGCTATGTTGCAGCTTTTCTCGGGGGGGGGGGCTTATTTTATTTGGTTTTTTTATGTTATTTTTTTATATTAATATTGGATTGGTTTTTTTTCTGATTGGTTAATTTTTTATTTTATTTTTAAATTAATATATCTTTTTTTATTTATGATATTTTTAAATAATTTTTTTTTAAATTTGTTTACAGCGTTTATATATGGGAAGGGGTGGGGTAGGGGGTAGGAGAATTTTGTCTACAAATTATTTAAAGGGGGTAGGCTAGGGGTAAGGTAAATTTGGTAAATGAAACTTTGTATTTTAAATTTTTTTTGGTGATAATACTATAATTAAAGGAAGTTCCTTTAAATAAATAGAAATTCGGCAACTTTAGGAAAATTAGCCAAACTTTTTTCTATAAATAAATGATAATTCTATAATTTTATATTTATTAGGGGTAAAATAGACCCCACCTTTGAAGTTTAAGTGATTTTTTTTAACCTTTGTAGTGAAGGGTCGAAATATAGTATTAAATGACGCAATTAAATATAGTATTAAAGTTTGTACAGGAAATATAGTATTAAATAACGCAATTTTATTCATTAAATTGAAAAATATTATTGAAATTTATACAGTAATTTATATAATGAATAAAAATATCAAACGATTTAACAATCGATATTTTCTAAAATATCTATATTCTAGTAGATATTCAGGAATGCTCTCCCTATCCCCATGTCTTTTATAGTTAGCTTTTAGATCCCCCCACAGCCTTTCGACTTTTTGGGTGTGGATCGATCTGTCATTTGGATCAACAAAATTTGGCGAATGATTGATCCGATAGTGGAAATAATTTGTTCGTTCTAGACGATTATATCTAAGATAAATAGATTAAATATATTACCACTTTAGATTTTTATGAAAAATATATTTACATACCCTATCCACGAGTCGTCCATTATCGCCGAATCTTGCATTACATTATCTTTAACCACAACTCAGTGTGGTATCTTGATCCCAAGATCTGGGGGCCCTGCCGCGTTATCGAAATTGATGAAACTAATGTGTGGAAGCGTAAATATAATCGTGATCTGCATTTGATCTCCGAGGCTATATTGATTATCGGTGGCATGTGTCGGGAGACAGATGAAATATTTCTAAGTGCCACAACAACAAGGGATCAAGATACCACACTGCATGTGGTTAAAGATAATGTCATGCAAGATTCAATGATAATGACTGACTCCTGCTTAGGGTATGTAAATATATTTTTCATATAAATCTAAAGTGGTAATATATTTAAATCTATTTATCTTAGATATAATCGGCTAGAACGAACAAATTATTTCCACTATCGGATCAATCATTCGCGGAATTTTGTTGATCCAAATGACAGATCGATCCACACCTAAAAAGTCGAAAGGCTGTGGCGGGATCTAAAGGCAAACTATAAAAGACATGGGAATTGGGATAACATTCATGAATATCTTCTTGAATATAGATATTTTCGAAAATATGGATTATTAAATCGTTTTGATATTTTATTCAATTTATTAATTATTGTATTTAGATTTAACCCTTCACTACAAATGTTAAAAAGTCACTTAAACTACGAAGGTGAGGTCTATTTTACCTCTAATTAATACAAAATTTTAGATTATTATTTATTTCCAGAAAAAAGTTATGCTAATTTTCCTAAAGTTGCTGAATTTTTATTTATTTATGAGATCTTCCTTTAATTATTGTATTATCACCAAAAAAATTAAAATGCAAAGTTTCATCTACCAAAAATTTACCTTACCCCTAGCCTACCCTCTTTAAAAAATTTGTAGGCTAAATGCTATTAACACCTTTCCCCCCCCCCTTTCCATAAAAAATTAACCAATCAGAAAATAACTATCCAATCAATATAAAAAAAATAACATTAAAAAAATCAAAAAATAAACCCCCCCGAGAGATACAGCAACCGAGTGCTATTTATCATCACTGTAATTTCTCATGTCCAGGTCATAAGAAACAGGTGGGGGTGTTGGATTCCCTAATATTGTAATATATGATTCATCAAATACTATTCGCTTCTATTGGCTTCTCAATTTGGGTGTCGCAATAATGACTCTTCGCTATAAAAAATTTTTTAGCGATTATTGATCGGCGATAAAAGTTTTGCTATCATGTATTCACTCTAAAGAGTTCGCGATGATGGGTTCACTATAATAAAAAATATGCAAAAAATCAATTTTACCATAATGAAAATAAGTGCTAGTAAGAGAACGACTCTGTGATAGGTTCCTAATATTTAATATTTTTTTGCGGAGGATACTATTTAAATCTAAAAAATTTTTCTCCTAAAGGAATCCCTAAAATCTCAACTAAACATATCTTCTACCATGGACTTCAATAATACCGATTTCAATAATCAATCAAATATTGATATTCCTAAATCATCGAACATTGCCAATGTAAATGAATCAATCGGCGTTAAGAATGAAGGAGTGATCGATACAGAACGATTAGAGAACACGGATGCTATGGACAGTAAAAACGATTACAACCAATTGGCCGTGAAGAATCTTTTGACAGAATTCTGTTTGAAGGGATTATTCCCTTGGGCCGAACGGCAGATGAGGCTATGGAATGAACAAGTTAGTCTTTTTTTAAAAATTTTTAAAAAAAAATATCTGGTAGTGGTGGGGTTAGTATGATACATACAATATTGCATACTATGATTTTAATTGTATACAAATGATGTAGCTTACCTATTTTTATTTGTTAAAAAGGCAAATTACAAAAGGGTGACCTTAATGGCAGCACAGGGACGGCAGTTAGCCGTGTCTTTCTATGGGGTAGCTTGGGCCAATTAAACATGGCTTCTACTACCCAAACTTTATTAATTTTTAAAAATATTTAAAACTAATTTTCAATTTAAAAACAAAAATTTAACTTACCACAAATCTGCATAATTTATTTGACACAACAATGTTCCCTATAAAATTGCACGTTTATATATATCACGTGCTTAGGTATGACCCTTTCTGGGAACACCCCTATTGATTATGATTGAAAAATATTTAATTAATAACTTTATAAGTTAGTGAAAATACTAAAAGACTCATAAGTATATGTAACTGTAACTGTATAAGTAGTGATAATATAATGTTATAAAATATTAAGTCCCTCCATTTGAGGAGCCGATTTTAAAAAACCACTGACTCACTATTTTATCCAGTTGGGCACAAAGGTTTCGACATTTATTAACGGAATTTCGGGTCATAGGCAAAAAAATTTTGGCTAAAATTCTAATGGAGTGATTTTGAATGTTCACCATGTGGAGTAGTTTTAAAACGGGGACACTTAAATGAAAATAAAATTGGGTTTTCTGTATCATCTGTCAAGGAGAATGTTTATATTACCCAAATCCGATTGCACATATTATACTATGCATGACATGAATAAATAAATCCTTTAATTTCTCTCATTTTTTTTTATACAGATTCAATCACGAAGGGGCTTACATAAATCATTTATCTCGGCCACCAAAAAGTGGTTTTCCGTGGGCAAAAATCCCGCCACTAATACCAGTTACCCAAGTCAACAAAATGCATCCACATCTGTCTTGTAAGTTCATTCTGACTTGTGTTGGATATTGGATAGAAGGGATCTTATGGACGATATTATTAATCTTTTTAAGAAGTCAAAACTTACTTAATTCTTTTTCGTTTATCTAACGGTGAGAATTGTCTTAATGTATAAAAAAAAATACCAAAAAGTCAATTTTTGACCCTGAAGAAGCCAAATGATTCCGGGGACATAGCCTAAATAGTTGATTAGTAAGGCTGCATTCATAATGAAAGTTATTTAACAACTGGCCGGGTTTCCAAATTTTTTTTATATAGTTCACCTTCCCAGTAATATTTCATAATTACAAATAAAACGATATTATGACTTGTTTTTTTTTAAAAAAGAGTTGATACTTGATTCGGGAGGGGGGGAGATCAGCTTAAAAATCATTTTAATGAAATTTTCAAAAATTTAATTTATAAAAATATACATTTAAAAGGGTTTTACTCAATTTAACATGAGTCATTATATTTTTCATAAGAAGTGTATTGGTAATAATAAGAAAATATTTGTGTTTATTTCTCCCAAAAAACTGGTTCTTAAAAACTATTTCTTTAAATTCTTAACTATATATATATCATTTTATCTTGAGAAATAGCATCCTAAACTTGTTATTGCTTCAAATTTGTAAGGTATAATGTTTGTTAAACTTGAGGTAAAAGTTTTTTTTTAAAAAGGTTTAATGGGTAATAACACTTATATTATAATATCACACATAAAGGTATAATTTTGATTCACTCGAGCTTCAAACGCGGCAGCTAGCTGACCTGTCCTTCTTGTTCCAATGTTTCCAAACTGCTTACAGCCTTTATCACACTGCCAAAAAGGATTTTCAATCTGACCAGGCCTGGATATATTACGCTGGGGCTGTTGTAGGACTATCATTATTTTATAAATATTATTATTTTAGGATGGTGTTGCTAAAATAACCGCCTCCATTTTCGCCGGTTTTTGAAAACGGCTAAATCAAGATTTTTTGCCGCTAGATGTCCGAACTCTGCCATCTATGGACAAAATTTTCAAGTTTGGATATAATTTTAGTTTTGGCCAAAAATCTTGAGTTGACCGTTTTTAGAAAAACCGGATTAACGAACCGCTTACTTTATAATTATTTTATACCGATTTTTAAAAACCGGTAGAGTTTCGTCAAAGTGAATTTAAAAAAATTGCTAAATAAAATATATTTAGTTATTGAAATGGAAGATTCAAAAAAAAATCATTGGTTTATTTTTTCAAGAAACAAATGACTTAAGCGTTTTGTAGGTTCCTCGGTATAAATGTTATTATTTTGTTATACATTTGATTCGGCCATTCATTCATTCTTATTTTGTGCCATTCTGGTTTTTTAGAAATTAATTGGGGTGGGGGGGGGGGGGTAATACTTAGAGGTTTTGGGGGTATCCTCGGCATCTATAACTATGTTGAGGGGAGGTAGAAACTGAGGGCAAGGAAAATATTAGGGGGAATTTGGGTGCTCAACGAAAGACGGTGTTTTGGCATAGCTGTATCTAGGCTTTCTCTTCATTTTGAAGCCGGTAAGATACATGTCCAAAGGCCATAAATTTATATTTAAAACAAAATACAAACCCAGGCTCGGCCTAAAAAAAAAGATTTTTTTCCGCTAATCCCAATCAGGGACCAATAATTTAAAAGCTGAACTTTTAAATTTTATCAATTTAATGATGAGGATGGAAAATATTTAGAAAATTTCCATTTGGAACATTTACAAAATATAGTAGTTGTTGTTAAATAGCACACTTTTTAAAAATGGCTAACCCAATATTTTCGCCAAAATATTATAGCACAAGCCTCGATAGATGTCAAAATCTTTCTGCCATCCATGAGCAAGATCTTCGGGGCTTGATTGAGCCCTTTTATAACCTTGAATTCATATTGGCGCGATAATTTCAATTCATAATAATAATAATCTAAGAAATGATGATTTTACCAAAAACTGTCAGCTGTTAAATCGTGATCGCAATCGCGCCGCCATGAATTCAAGGTTAAACAACACTAGAAAATAAGGGTTGAGGTCATTTGAATGATCAAAATTTAGCGAGAGCTACTGGGCTTAGAAAATCGAAAATAATTTATTTAATACTTTCGAATATTTTACTAAAAAAAATTAAAAATTTGCGAAATTCGTTTGCACGTGATTTTAATCAAAATCACACATCGATATTTATCTTTACATTATTTTTGGGGAGGATAGAAATAAAATGACTCCTCTTTTAGCTTATAGTCCAATCTCAGACTTACTTGTTGGGCTTTAGAAAGGGTAGCTTTCTTCTTTGCCTTGATGCACGTACGGAGTATGTTTTGGGAACATTGGGATTGTTGGGTGTTTTGTTGGCAAGCTTGATATAGGTGTCAGGGTTCGAATTAAATCATGGGTAGATATAAAACCGAGTTAGAGCACCCTTTAATATTGGGGTTGTCTATTTTCTTAGAGATCATATGGCCTTAAGCTCACCAGATGATAAAGAGGAGCAATGTTCAGAAATAGGAAGTAAGTTTGATAGAGTTAAGGAAAACGTCCAAGAACCAATCTTGCCAGGAGGAGGCATATTTTTTCTGGCCGAGAAACAGGATAGCCTTGGGAATAGGCATGAATATGGACACTTATCAAAAATGAGCTGGAATATACCTAATATGAACCTTAACTTCAAAATTTTTTGAACACAATTCCTATAAATCTCATCAATTCCAATCCTCTAAAACCCTAGTAACACACAACAGTTGCTCCAGATCTTCGCAATCATTACTTATAATATTAATAATTTGATCAGTTCCAGCCTAACGAAATGTCACCTTATTCAAAGATAAATTACGCTTAAATAAATGACCATGCTTTTAAAAGTTATAAAAATTATTTATTTTTTGCGCATGCGCATAGGAAATGGCCGGTATATCCTCCTATATGTTGGGCACCATCGCCACTCAATTTCCGTTTCATTATCTTGATTCCGCCATCAATACATACTTATCCGTTTGCAAGTTTAATTTCAAAAAAACAAAAAAAAATCAAAATATTTTTTTTTATAATCTAAGGAATATTTTTTTTTAATGTGCTCTTTGACACCTGTCGAATAATTATTATTCTAAGATTATTCAAAAACACATGCATTCCCTAAAAAAAAAGTCTGCCAATTTTCGCTACCCGCGCTACCCTATTTAGTACGGAAATTTTGAAATCTTTTGGGTTTTACACAGAAGCAGCCATGAATTTTCTCAAGCTCACATCGGAGGAGTCTGATCTTCGGAGCGCGTTATTTCTCGAACAGTCGGCCTTATGCTTTTTGAAGATTAAGGTAGACATATTTTTTTTAGATTATGAATGATAATGTATTATCTAATATGAACATATGTTTTGCATTTAAATTTCTGGACTAAATTTTATGATATATATTTAAAAAATAGGAAATATAATTATTTACAATTTAGTTTGGTTTTTTTTCTTCTTCTAACTTTCTTCAATTTAAGACTGGCGTATATAATTGACTTGTCCAAATTAAAGCCTGTTATTTAATATCTATGTCGAGCGGCGTACTAGCGAATTTGGCAAAGTGCTCAATATCCTTCCAAATTTGATTTTTTTTCTTCTTTCTATACTTTTCTTTTTTTCTTTCTATACTTTTCTTCTTTTCTTGCCTTTTAAATTACTAAAGAATAACCACAATCGTAACCCTATGATACGTAAATACGGGTTTCATTTGATTTTGGCGGGAAATAAATATTTCAAAATTTCGGACGAAAACTCGAACTCCACTTACCAGAAGTATTTTCCTGTTCATTTTACTTTTCTTTAAAAACAAAATAATAATAATATAATGTATTTCCTATTTAGCCTCACATAATAATAAATGATTTAATAACAAGGAAAACTCATGTTGACCCCTTAGATATCCTACCTCCATTTCATTATTTTTGAAACATGTTATTGGTTAACGGTCGTATATCTACAACAATCTATAGTGTATCATAATAAGAGTTCTTCTTTTTTATGGTAGTTTTAATTTTTAAATTTTTTTTTATACAAATAATTTTTATTAAAATCTTGAATTACAATAATATAATATTCATTATTATTATATATATTAGTAATAAGGAGAAAAAAAAACAAAAAGTGAGGAAGGGGAATGTAAAAAGTGTTGTAAAAGAAAAATGAATAAAAGAGATTTATTATTCAGATTAAGTAAAGTTCAAGATTTTAAGTTTGTTGTTTAAACACTATGTAAATGAATAGTATAGAAAAGTATATATAACGGGAATATTTTACTTGTAAAATGATTATTATTATGAATTTGCAAACATAATTTTTAATCTTTTAAATATAATTTATATTAATTTTATTTTTCTTTTATTTTGATTATGTTTTCACTTTATAGTATTTAATAAATTCTCAACTACAACTTTTGTTACCGAAACATTATGTTCTATGGACATATTCAGGCTAATTAACTTTTCTTATTTACAACGGTTCTAATCTCCCAATCTTAAATTCTACTAACTGTGACAATAAAGTATTGAGGTTAAACCAAATCATCTTGTGGGATGAGACTGCCTATGAAGCTAATATAATTTGCCTTGTGTATCGCTATGGCGAGTCTTTGTCTTAAGAAGAAGCCATCGCGAGGTTCACCAGTTAGTTGACGAATGTGAGAGCCAAGTTCCTTGAAAAAAGATAAGGTACATTTCCCAAAAGTTGTAAGGGTTGTGGAAATGATGGGAATGAAAATGTATTCTTGAGATAGAATATTTAGCTATTTTAACTGACTCCTTTTTCTCAAGAATATAAAATGTTTGGTTTGATGGTGCAAGTGGATCAATACACGAGTAATCCCAGACCAAGAATTGACCGCGCTTCCAAGGAATTTTAGAAATCCCATCAGGCCGTTTCCCATCAGATCTGAAAAGACCGGAAGGTTCAAGAATAGAGGGGATTTGAGCAGATCTCAAGGCTCTAAGGATGATTGAATTGCATTGATTATGTCTAACGATACGACCTTTACACGAACGACAGTGAAAACTATGTCTACCATTACCCAAAATGGCAGACCTGCAACCTGAACATGTGTGGGGTTGGGTAATTAGACAATTTAACCGAATGCCGATCGCGTGAGCGAGCTCGTTTTGGTTCAGTTGTAATTGCAAATTAACAGTAGGAATCGCTTCAAAGAACTCATGGCATGAACCATTAAGCAGTGAGGAGAATAAGGGGTGGTCAGATAATTGCATTTTGGAAATGAGTGATTCAATGCAGAATGCAATAATATGCCTATCACCATCCTTCTGCTTATTCGTTTTAGGAATAGGGTGATCAGCAATAATTCGTGCCTTCCATTCGATGATTGTATCATTATAAGAAAAGTCGGGTTTTAATGAAAGAGAATTTACTATATTTTTAGTTAAAAGACAACTGGATATGAAGGCTGTTAAGGCGAAATCAGACGGAGATCTGAAACCAAGACCTCCCATCTTGGTAGGTAAAGAGGCTTGTGTCCATGCAATTTCATCGAATTTAAGGTTTAGAATATTTTCGATGAGGACTTTGATCCCATTTTCATAAACTCCAAGGGGAACGGGGAATTTGAATATGGCTGTTGAACGAAGTGCATAAAGAATACGGGGAATATTGAAAAAAAATTTCACGAGGAAAAAGGCTTTATGGGAGGGAAGTAGGGAGAATAAATCGGCCAACTCAAAAAGAGCTTCTAATGTGGACTGAAGGAAGGAAGATATAGCAGAGTTACCACCAACAGGGGCACCCAAGTGATGAAGTCCATCAAGGGTAGTTAGTTTGAATTTATTTGAATTAGGTTCGATAGAATTGATATTTGCAATTACAACTTAACCAAAACGAGCTCGCTCGCACGATCGGCATTCGGTTAAATTGTCTAATTACCCAACCCCACACATGTTCAGGTTGCAGTTCTGCCGTTTTGGGGAATGGTAGACATAGTCTTCACTGTCGTTCGTGTTAAGGTCGTATCGTTAGACATAATCAATGCAATTCAATCATCCTTAGAGCCTTGAGATCTGCTCAAATCCTCTCTATTCTTGAACCTTCCGGTCTTTTCAGATCTGATAGGAAACGGCCTGATGTGATTTCTCAAATTCCTTGGAAGCGCGGTCAATTCTTGGTCTGGGATTACTCGTGTATTGATCCACTTGCACCATCAAACCAAACATTTAATATAGTTGAGAAAAAGGAGTCACTTAAAATAGCTAAATATTCTGAAATTTCTCAAGAATACATTTTCATTCCCATCATTTCCACAACCCTTAAAACTTTTAGGAAATGTGCCTTCTCTTTTTTCATGGAACTTGGCTCTCACATTCGTTAACTAACTGGTGAACCTCGCGAAGGCTTTTTCTTCTTAAGACAAAGACTCGCCATAGCGATACACAAGACAAATTATATTAGCTTCATAGGCAGTCTCATCCCACAAGATGATTTGTTTTAACCTTTTCTCCTTATTACTAGTATATATAATAATAATAATAATAATGATTATTATATTATTGTAATTCAAGTAAAAAAAATTTTAAAGGAAAGTTTTTTTTTTATAATAGTTCATTCAGACTAGACCTCCAAACGAATATAGAAATTTATTCACTTTCCTATTTCGTTTTTTTTAGCAAATACCAAAATAAATAGGCATGTGGCAAACATTATTGTCTATTAGAAAATGACACAATGCCAACAACATTTCATATAAAAATGTCCATTCATAAATTTTATGTTGTATCTAAACTTGTTTGTTGACACTTTTAGGATTAGCGATTTGACAATTCTTTTAACTCGTTCATTCTTTTTACACGTTTCAAAATTAAACTATGAAGCACGTATGCGCCTCTTGATAAAAAAACAGCTACGTTTCTTACTATTTCTATGTTTTTTATATTTCTTCGCAAAGCCATCAGAACAGGCACCTAATCGCTTTCAAATATCACGGCCTTCGGTGTTACAACCTAGCGCGAAACATTTTCAAGGATACTCAAGGGTGGATCTTCCTGAATGATCACATTACGTTTACTTTAGCCAAGCATTTATGGACTAGACGACCCCTCGCAAGCTTATCCGATGAGTAATTTTTGTTTGATATGTATAATAAAAATTTTTGAAGATAAAGAAATTGGATGGAAAGATTGAAATGCTAAACTTGATAATATAAAATAAGTAAGAGCAAAAGTCCTGTAAAATGAATGTCAATCTTTATACGAGATGAGACCTTACGACTTTTATGGTGGAATAATGCTTACGCTTAATGATTGTGACGATTAAGCGAGAGCTAATAATTTATCTCCAATCGATTTTAACGAATAAATTTTTTTAACAAAATCAATATTTAAGTCCCACGTCCATCAAAAACGACGCCCAGTCGAATTTCGACACCCTGACGAAGAGCGAAAAGTATTTGGCGAGCCTATTCAAACTTAATCGCGTTTATTACGAAAGTAGTTGTCATGACAATAATGGCATAAACTGCGAAACCTTGAGTAACTTTTTCGGTTGCCACAAACCATTTGTGGGTATTGATTCGGACGTCAAATCGCATAGCGTTAGCACTCAAACAAAATATTTTAAGGAGTTGATAGCTCTATACAACGTAATATATATTTTTTTTAAAATGTATTATTACTTGCCTTTTTTTTGCTAATAATAGCGGGATACAACTTAATATACATAATTTTTTGGTATAATTTCTTGTCTTTTATTTCTGTTAGGTATAGCGGGGATTTTTCTCCATAGTGAGCAATATTTTTTTAAAGGAATATATCTCATCACATCTAGTGTTGTTAAAAGGCCCGATTTAGCCAATTTTAAAATTGGAATGCCAAAATAATATTATGTATGCCTCGAGATTTCGCTAATGGATTTCCCAAACCCTCTCTGCCATCTAGAATTCTCCAGGCCTGCTTAATGTTTTTGGCTAAAATCTTGGGTTTGCCGTTTAACAACACTAATATTGCCCTTTGGAGTTTTATCACTGATATTTAATATTTTGAGACCATTTTTTGCAATTTCTTATTTGAATTTTTAAAAGTTTGGAATGAATCGCGACAAAAGGGATATATGAAAAATATATTTTTATTTATTTGTTTAATTTTGTGCGGCAGCGATTTTGTAAATAAAATTTAAAAAAATAAATTGTTTAACAAATCCGATCTTTTTAGTTTCCCCTGGACATGATTAGAAGATGAATACATCTCATGCATGTTAATTGGCATATTATTATATTCCTGTTAGAGGTAAAAGCTTTGTAAAAAGGGGGGAGGGCTTATAAATAAATTGATTTTGTCCAAATTCCTATTGGACATTTTAATATAATTTCTTTAAAAGATTGTTGCAAAGGCTAAAATATCTGAATTTACAAATATCCAAATTATATAAATTTTAAAAATAATCCTAGCTAAGAACAGTGCCTTAATAAAAAAAATTTTGATATTTCAGGAACTCAGAAATACGAACTCTATGTACGATATTGATATACCGGTGCCAATCATCGATTGCCCAAACATTAAAATTTCCTTGCCAGACGTTCTTTACGAAAATTATCCTGGTACTGGTATTACCAGTTTATTTATTTTATTAATCAAAAAATTTAAGATCATAAAACTTTATAACATCTTAGGTTCTATTGTGAGTAGTGATAAATCCTTTTTATCTTTATTTTACATTGCGAGAATATTTTCTTTTATTGCCTCCCACATATTCTTTTATATTAATAAATTTTTTTAAATCAAGAAAACGCCGCCTCCCAAACCTGCCCCACTAACTTAGCCAACAGCTTGGAACGGTTTTGTTACAAATCGGCCAGCGACTCTTTACTCAAAGACATCACTAATAACGACACGAATTTAAATTCCAACACCCCCGTTCCTACTAATCTTAGGCACTTCTCATCCCATTACGATAACTCGACTTGTAACCAGGAGCCATGTATCGTTTTCGCTAACGGTACTTTTCTTTTGTCAAATTTTAACTACCAGCCCACGCATTCATTAGGTTTGCGTCCCGAAATTAGTCATTATTGGAAGACTAATCCTACCCCGCCCTTTTTTGTATTCCTCACTAAATAGACTTATTTCTTATAAACACTTTCCTTATATGTGGCCAAATAGAAAGCTTTTTTATTAATGATCCACCCTTATGAAAGGCTAACCGTTATATATATTTTTTTTAATAAAGAATCCTTTAGAATAGACGTACCTATCCAAAACACCTATAAGCTACCTCTCGTCCTTTCCGGCCTTCAGTTAACGGGCCACTTCAGCGATAACGCTTCCTTCATCATTCAATCTAACAAAATTACGACCCGCACCTTCGAAGATATCGGTGACTCCGAGCTATGCGGAAATGAATCAAGTTATATTCATTGTTTAACCCTCCATTTCATAGTTATCACAAAGTCTTGGCGAAGTATACAAAATACGCTCTATTTTTGTGCATTTTAAAATACTTCCCTCGCGCGCTAACTGTAAATGCATGATGATACTTTTTTTAGAAGAAGCTGGCTATATCGCACAGCCTCGTTATCTAATATTTTTTCGATGATTTTTTTTTTGTTGTTTCGTAATTTATCGGGAGTTTCTCTTTCATGTAAAACACTATTGGCCCGATTTCGACACTGATTTACGTTTATATCTATAATTTATTTTTTTTAAAAAGAATAGATGTTTTATACGTAATTACTTTTTTTAGGCAACACCTCTTCTACTAACATTCCCAAATCTTATAACGAAGATAGGAAAATCGTGGAGCTGAATTCGGTTATACAACGCGAAATTTCCGCCTTAAAAGAAAACATAATCAAGCCCTACCTTCAAAATAAAGATTATGATAATATACAGGTTGTGTAAAACTGTTTTTTTTTTTAAAAAATCAAACAGAGATTTAATGGATAATAACATAAGGGTGGTGGCGGTCTTTCGTGACAAATCGACTTGAAAACGAATTTGTTTTTTGACCAACCATGCCTGAAAATAAATGAAACTTTGGTATTAGGGTTTATATCAATGACGTATAATAATACCTAGACTGACGATGCATTCATTAAAAGTGTACATCGATGAAAAACAGCTGGGATCGCCATCTTGGTTACCCATATTATTAAAAATTTTAAACGATAGGCCAATTTATTGCCGTGTATGACGCAAGCTTTACTAAAGAATTGCCTGATCATCGAGATAATAAAGAAGCAAGATATCAATTTAACAGTAGTTTTTAACATGAAAACAATTACTATAGGGGGTTACCAAAATGGCGGGTCCAGCTGATTTGCATTCAACGACACTTTCAAATGCATTATTATGAATGCATCATCAGTCTAGGTATTATTATATGACATTGGTTTATAGAGAGTCCCAACCTAAATAATTGTTAAAATGTTAAAAGCTCTAACTCAAATGGATCCTAAAATCTATAAATTATATCAAATTCTAAATCGTATTTTTCTGTAAAATGACAAAAAAATGATTTATTTGTGAGCTAGTCCAACTTTAGGAGGACGAAACTCTTCACACATGTTTATAACTAATATATTTAAATAAAAATTAGAATAGAGGAAATTGAAATTTAAAAATTATTTCGTTTTTTTTTATAATTTTGGAATAAAAAAATGAAGAGATGATTATTCCTTCTTATTCTAAGAAATAAAGTTTAAATATTATAAATACTGTTAAATATAGCTTAGATCTGCAGAGCTAGACATTTTGAGCTCGATCTGGCCCTGATTTAAGTATTCTTTTTTCTCTTCCCCGGTTAGACTTAGATTCATAAATAATAAAAAAAAAATTCCTCCTATCTTGGACCAATAATTGATAAAACCGGGATCGCACCCATACCTGGTAAAACTCTGAATATATATTTGAGCTTTAAAGTTTTGCGACGTATATGACCAAAGTACCAAGTTTCGTCAATTTTATTTAAAAATAGGTAGGGCAAATCAGGTCGATTTGACGTGGAATCACTTATTTTAAAGTTATGCAAAGATCTTGGCGCGCTTTTATTTAAATCGTTATTCTATAACGCGAGATACGTATCTCGTGTAAATAAGAGACGATTAGTTTTTTGTTTTATATTTTTCACTGAGATTTAATAATACCTGGACTGGCAATGCATTCATAATTATGCATTTGAAAGCGTCGCTGAATGCAAATCAGCTGGATCCCCCATTTTGGTAACTCATAATATAGTAATTATTCTCATGTTAAAAACTATTATTAAATTGATAACTTGCTGCCTTTTCATCTCGATGATCAGGCAATTCTTTAATAATGATATGGGTGACCAAAATGGCGTCACCAGCTGTTTTCTTTGATGTACACTTTTAACAATTATATGTCATTGATATTTTTACTCATTTCAATAATGATTAAATTTTTCAGCAATGGGTCCAGGTAGAACCTATGGGCGATATATTAGTTCCGGCTCAACAAACCAAATTGGTAAACATTTTATTTGTCAACATTGCTTTTGATTTTATAATACATATTTTTATGTTCGCCTCATGGATTAGTTTTTTTTGGGATGGGGGGGGGGGGGGGTCAGGATGTCAAAATATTATAAAATCGTTTAATTTTTAAGATATCCCTCTATCTCACGCCCGGAAAAATCGGTTATTTCAGGATCGACGGATTTAAATATCGACTCGTGTTCCCCTTCCCGGCATCGGTCGGATCTAAACCGCCTTCTACAAATTTTAACCAAACCGTTTCCCCGCTAAAATCCGAATCCGTTTTTACTCGCAATTCTTACGACGAATCGTCCAATAATCCGGAAAATAGTTCGACCGGTTACACCTCCGCAAAACCGTTCAGTAATATGACTATCAGTTTTAAAAAAGATATAAAGGCTATGTCCTAAATATCAAATGAAAATTCACAAAATTTTCGAAACTTTATTAAATAAATATAAAAATTAAAACATGTCTAAAACATAATTTTAGAAAATTTTTAAAATTTACGAAAAGTATTTAAAACTTTTTCTAATTTTTAAAAAAAAAAAAAGATTTTGGACATAGCCTAAAAATCACAAGATAGAAAAAAAATATATATAACTCATTATTCTGACGAGAGTGAATTGGAAAAAACTTAGAGATTTAAAATTGAGGTTTAAGACATTTTTATTTTAAAATAGTTAATCCAAATTTTATTTAAATTTTCTACTTGATTTTGCCCCCATTTATCTCCTGTTAATTTATGTTAAAGTTCCAAAAAAAAACCACTACAAAATTTACGCGTTCAAAAAAAGACACTGATTATTATTTTTTTTTATAGCGTAATGAGAACTAAGAACATTTTTTATTACGCTTTAAGTTACCGTCAAAAGATGTGTAATGTGTCCCGGCAAACGACTAAACGCTACAAATCATCAGAAGAAAACGCTAACTTATTCCATCGACAAAAGACTGGAATTTTATGTTAGACCGCCTATCCCTTTCCTCAAAGTATTTTTTTTCCTTTTATAAATTGATATTTTTTAAAAAAATAATAATATTCTGACCCATTGCTCTTCCATTCATTTGATAACAGGGTCATAAATTTTGCAAGGATTACTTTTGCCCCATAATCCTGCCTTGATATGCTAGACATGATTAATTAAAACAGTTAGTCTTTAGCTTATTCAAGCTTGACTCACATAAAATTTAGTAATAATTCCGGAGGGGGGGGGGAGAGACTTATGAAAATATAAAAAAAGGCTATATCGTTTCAAGCAAAATGAATAATTTTAGTTTCATCATTGAATATGAGAACATTAATCTTCTTTTATTTTGTACAAAAAGGGGGAATTGAAAGGTCTCCCGTCCATCATCTATGACGGTCAACTGATAGAAGACTGCTATCTGGAAATAGCGTCCGATATTAGGCAGTCAGCTCCGACCAACATTTTGTTTCCAAACAATTTAAACGGGATAAATTTGTCTCCGCCATCTTTACCCATCCATGTTATAGTAGCCAGCGATAACAAATTGGCTCATTCATACGCCGCGACTGTCACGGACTGCAGAAAATTTCCCAGAATTCCTACCATTCTTCACGCGTACACGTCCGATAATACTACGTTCAATCAAGTCAAGGCCAAAAACGATCGTATCGAAGTGGACGGGGGCGACAATTATGATCAGAGCCGTTACATCGTGAGTAAAGATTGCGATAAAATTTACTTCCCGATCTCTTTGTACAATAATCTTATGGCTAGAGCTTCTGGCATAGTTCAAGAAGATGATAATCCTCAAATCTTTGAAGAAGGTAAGGTCATATCTATTTTATAATTTTTTCTATACATTTTATTACTAATAATACATTCATAGATTCTATGAACCATTCATTCTTTACAATAATCAGTAAAATTGGGTATTGGCTATATTTTTCGCTGGCTAAAAGGCAATATTGAGTTTTTTACCCCAAAATTATCGCCTCGGTCTTGGGCTATTTTTAAAAATACAGCTCGACTTTGAAGAAAGCAGAAATAAATTATTATGTACCTCAATGCTTAGCAACTTTTTTTTCGATAACGCGTCTGTAGAAGTAGCTAGCCTATTTTTAACCAATACCCAACTAACTATAATAATCAGTCATAAACTTACGCTATTGACCGATAACTTTTACAGAAGTTTTTCGCGCGATTTTCTTTTAAATTGTGTGCCTGCGCGTTTAATTATCTTCTTATGGTTATCGTGATAGTTAATGGTAAGCCGGCTAGTTTTTTTAAAAATTAATTTCGATTTCAGGCTGGATCATGCATGTTAAAATATATGGGACCGTATTAGGCTTAAATTTTTAAAAATATGATATCATTACATTTTGTCAAAATAAATTGATATATTTTAAAACAAGATGCTAATATTTTTTTTTTACAATAGAAAATATATTAATTTTTTCTATATTTAAATAAATTCGGGCAGGGCCGGCAGTCTAATAATTTTTATTTTGGGTTGGGCTTTTTGGGACAAAAAAAAATTTGTTTGAGATCGGGTTGGACCGGACAAATTTTTTTGGAAAAATTTTGGATTGAGCCAGACCGGGCATATTTTTTTTATAAAAAATTTCGGGCAGGGTTTGGGAAATAATGCTCGATGCGAGATCACTTTTAAAAAAGTTTATATTTTTTTAATTAAAACTTGTTTTTATTAGAGGAAGATCACTGTATTAATAAAGCGAATCAGAATTTTTTAGCGGACCGTAACAAGCTCACCTCTACTACCAATTCTAATCAACACATTTTAAAAGAGGAAGACGAGATACGCTGTGACCTTATTATTTTTAATTATTCTCAGTATGAAGCCAATAACAATGTCATTAACGATGATCATCTCATCAAGTATAACACAGAATATAATATATTTTTTTCTTAGAAATAAGCGGAGGTTCCCATTCAAAAAAAAAATCCCATGTTTTCAATTAAAAACTTCTTACATTTAATAGATAGAGACAAGAGCTTATAGATTAGATTCATAATCTTCAGTAGTGATCAGAGTTGTTAAAAGATACTTTTTAAATGGATCTAGATACCGATACATCGTCTAAAATAATATATAGATACAGATATTTTTATCAAAAATCTATCTAGATACAGATACCACATTTTTATATCTAGATACAGGATCTAGATCCTTTAACAACTCTGGTAGTGATGCAAAATCTCCATATTTGAACCGACTTTTTAAAACGGCTAACTAACAATATTTTAACCGGAAAAATATTGCCTTAAGTCTTGAAATTTTGCTAATAGATTCCCAAACCCTTGTGCCATCTATGAGCAAAGTCTTCAGCCTTACGTAATATTTTTTCTGAATAAAATACTGAGTTAGCCGTTTTAAAAAATCGGCACAAATGGAGCTATTGGAACGTATATAATTTGTTTTTTTAATGGAAAAAAAATTTAGCGTAGCTAATTGAACCTTTGTGGGGTTAAGGTGAAGGTAATATTTAAGAGAGTTTTTAATAAAAATCAGGCCCGCTAGAAAATATAATTAAACTCATAACCCGCCCTTTGAATGTCTGTCCCGGCTACTAGGGTTTAGATTGAAAGATCATTTAGAGAACAGTATTAGGACGATGATATTTTTATTATAATTTTATATACGAATAAAATTGTTAACTTTAAAGATGTGTTTTATTTTGTTGTTGTTCCCCTTATAGTAATCATAAAATAAGATACAAGATTATTTATAGAGCTATATACATATGTGATTACTCTATTTCAAAATAATAAAATAATGCCTACTTGAAACTTTTTTGAACCGAACCTATATATATCAAAAGTGTTTGCACTCTGATAATTTTTTATATAGCAAAGATTGGAATTTAACATTTGATTGATTTTTTTAAAAATAAAACAGTTATAGAGCCTTTTCCATACCAATTCGCGTTAAGTCCTACCCTTCCATAAGCATTAAGACCCAAATTGTCGTGAGCCAATTGGACATCAGAGATGTTAACGTGTTTCTGGATATGCAAAACATGACCAAAGTTTTTCGACTTTATTTTTAATATAAAAAATAAATTAATTTTTTTTATAAATATAAGAATTTATATTTTATTGATATTAAAAACTTTTTTTTACAAAAATTAAAACATGAACATTTATATTATATACTCTATTGAAATTAAAAACAATATATATATTTTAAAAAAAAAACAAATAAGGATATATTAAAAATTTATAGTAATAAAATCATCCTTCGAAATTTAAAATTTTTATAAAAAAAAAGAAAGATGTTTTTATAAGCTTAAAATTACATGATAATATATAATATATCTCTTAATGCAAATATTGTTATGCAAAACAAACTGGAATCTGAAATTAAAGGGAGAGAAAGGCGTATATATTTGTATACTATATTCTATAATTATGTAAATTAGATTAAAATTTTCATACTATGTTTCGGAAAGTTGCCGAAATCTTGAGAATCTTCCCAAAATAACCGTTTCGGCTCCGATAGCGTTTCATATTTTTACCCCCCCCCCCATGTTTCACTTTCGGAATGTTCGGTTCCACCTAAAATTATTTTTCCTTGTGGAGAAGAAAGAAATTAATTTTATCAAAGCTCACATATCTTGGGTCGAGCCCACAGCTCTTTACATTCATTTATTTATTATTAAACATCTGTTTTATGCGGGGTAAAATAAAGGAAACGGACGATAAAATTATGGAGATAAGTGTGCACAAAATTATACTAGTCAGTTCGTCGTACAAATTTTTATCCATCAACAGTAATTCACAAGGCATGAACGGTATTTTATATATTACAAATTTAAATTTCCAATCTCAATATCTCATGACCGACCGACCACCAAACTTAAGACATTTAATATTTGGATAAATATATATTTATTTTCTCTAATTTGATGATACGTATATGTTTATAAAAAACTTTTTGATTTTAAGATTTCAAGATCAAACCATGTGAACATATGAGAATATGCATTAAAGGCAAACATTTAGAAGACAATAAAGGTAAAAGTTCGTTTTTTTTTATAGCTTATGCTGTGTCCAAAATCATTTTAAAAAATTTGAAAAGTTTTAAAACTTTAAAATAATTTAATTATTTATTTTTTTTTAGAAAACGCTCTTTTAAAAAAAAAATTATTTTATGTTTAGGAAAAAAGAATTGTGCAAGATTTAACTTAATTCCAATATATATATATCCTTTTTTTTTCATAAAAATAAATAATCCCAGCTATTTTATTCTCCGACATAACGTCGAATATTATAACCACCCAATCGGGTAAACTCTTATCGAACTGTGATAATATATCCCCAAAATTTACCAGAATGTTAAACAAATGCAACCAATTCCTTAGATTGTCAACCAAAGGGCGTGCCATCTCATTGTATATACACTGGACGGTAAATAGACATTTTAAAAAAAAAATCAAACTATTCCATAATATAATACTACTACTGCATGTTAAGACTTGACAAATTTAAGTTTATAATTTTGAAATTTAGCTCCGTAACTTATCCCACTTTATTTTATTTTTTTAAATATTGTTGTGCATATTATAAATTATGCCACTTCAAAATTAATCAATTGTGGCTCTAACTACAGTGAAGAAACGAGTGTTAAATCAACTTACAATAAAAGGAGGTAAATATAATAAGATTTTAATTTAATACATATTGAAATTAAATGTGAACAAGCAATTAATTATAATCGTTAAAAGGAAATGTGTTGGAAATTTAATTAAACATTAATAAAATTGTGTTTGTAGTAAAATATTTATTAATTTGTTAAATTTTTCTTAAATAATAAATAAAAAAAAATGTTTAATATAGAATCTTTATTAGCTAATACTAATTTTTCCAATTTAAATGAAAACTTTAATCTTCGTCGAAAATTCAAAGACCAAGAAGAATACACAAATATTGGAATAAAGAAAAAATATATATAGTTACTAAAATGTTATCAATGCCCGAAAAACAACAGATAAAAATTAAAGACATCGCAAAATACGACGAAGTGTCTACAGCATCGATCCATAAAGTTAGACGGGACACATTATCAGATATAAATGGAGATCCTTTAAAAGAATACAGTATTCAAAAAAGAGGAAGTAAGAAAAAAGATACTTATGTAATTGAAAGACACATCATAAGCATATTAATGGAAAATAATACTCTTACTATCCAGCAAGGAGCCTGATAAAAAAAATACTCCTGGGGCAATTAATATTCGTCAAATCTATTGTGTAAAGATCTTAAATACCCCAAGAGAAAAATTATATTTCTTAGATGAAACTAAAATAAACTTGCATACCAATCTACGCCTGGGCACCATACAATGTCCGTCCAATAATAAAAATCCCATCCTCTAAAGGTAAAATGTAAGCATACTTTGTACAATTGTAATTGGAGGGGGTAATCCATTATAAAATAATCTAAGGAGCTTATAATGGGTTATTATTCCATGATTTTATGACAGAGCTTATCAGGGTCTTACCACCAGATGCAATTATTGTAATGGATAATGCATCTATCCATAGAAGCTATCTTATCCATGCTTATAAAGATAGGATTGAATACCTACCACCATATTCACCTCAGCTAAATCCCATTGAAAATTTTTTTGGAGTCTTGAAATGAATATCGAGCAATCAATCCCCGCCCTAATTCGAAATTATTGGGAATATTATTCAGCTCTTACACAGATGTATTCCTTATGATTTTACAATCACATGCAAAGCTATTTGGAGTTGGGTTATCGCGGGCAACTGATTAATTAAGTGATCCTTATAGTTAATTTGTAATAATAATTATAATATTAACTCTTAATTTCTAATAAGCTACCATCATCAAATTCGTGGAACAATGGAACATTTTGATAAATTATAATTATATTTTTAATGTGTCTATTATTTTATCGAAGTTATTATAAAAATTTATAGTATTATCATATTTTTATCGAAATAAATGGATACAAAATTACAAAATATATAACATTTTAAGAAATTCTAAAATATTTATATCAAAAAGACTTTTTATAAAAAAATGATTTAGAATTGGATAAAATTTAATCAAAAATCTTACTTGAGTTCTCAAAGAAGATCGAAAAAATTTCCCATTGCTCATCACAAATTATATATTTACAACATAATTTCTTTTTATTATTTAAAAACGATTAATCTTGTTAACTAATTGCTTGTCCATATTTAATTTCAATATGTATTAAATTAAATCTTATTATGTTTACCACCTTTTATTGTAAATTGATTATTAACACTCGTTTCACTGTGTTATAAAGGACCTTACTCCAATTTTGCTCGAAAATGATGTAGGGTCTAAAAAACGGATCTTTAAGTACCTCTATTTTCTTTTACGTTAACATTCCTCCCTCATTAATTCAAAAGAGCCTTGAAATAATTTCTTCAATTTTTTTAAGGGCTTGATGGTAGATGAAAACGGTGCTCGTAATGACGTACACGGCGTACATTCTTTTCAAGATATATTACCCCCTTGCCTTTATAGATTACCTACACTCCCACCTTTCTTCAAGGAAATCGCAAATCATTCCAACGCCAACACTCCCGTGATAGATAAAATTTTCGCTTACTCCCTAAGGTTTCCTACCTTGTCTATATCAAATGATGTCGTCAAAAATTTCCGGCTAGAACTACACCTTTCAAATTTATCTCAGACAGTTTCCCTTTACATCGATATAAGCGTATCAGAGCCTAACCCAAATCTATCCAACGGTTCCTTCCTTTACACCTGGGTAGGCAAGACCCGTCACGAAAATATTCATCTACCTCCATTGGCGATCGTCGATATCCCTTTACGCGCTGCCCTGATAATTAGAGAGTATTCATCAATCTCACAATTTTCTACCTCGTGGAGGAATACCTTAAAAATCGAAAATATTCACCTTGACCTGAAGGCTTTCGACGCCAATAACAAAGGCGGGAGGATTGTAAACATCGGAAAAATTTCCGTTGGAGAAGTGGCTATTGACGCGTCCTCCGGAATGGGAGAAGCTAATAACGTCGAGAGCGAGTACTCTCTGTGCAATTCGTGCTTTGTGCAAATTGAGTAGCAATTTTTGTCGAAATTTGTCTTTGTTTAAAATCCGAGCGAGTTACAAAAGTGAGAGAAAGGAAGAAAAACGCGCATAGAAAATCGTTTATTTATACAAAATTACACCATAATTTATTTGTGTAAGGATAACGCGCCAAAAATTTTAATAAACGAGAAAATTATAATTATTGAACATTTTGCATTCCCATTTATTTATACGTTTAATTTATTGGTCCGAAATAAAATATCATGTGAAATTTTTTTTTTTAAAACTCAATAAAACATTTTTAAAAAGAAAATAGGATTATCTCATGAAACTCTATTTTAATATGAATTTTTAAAGTCTTATTTGTACATTTAAATTTTTAACCTTTACGGAACAAGGTCAAGGGAGGAAGATAATATTTTTTGAGTTAAATCTTTTTTTTCTAATGATATATCCCTTTCACTATCTAAAATATTACCCATCTAGACTGCGGGTGAATTCGACCTTTCTTGCCATTTTTTGGAAAACGATTAATTAATATTTTGCCAAGTGGTTCTCCTTTTGGGGAAGCTTATAAGGGCATTTTAACGTTCCTGCTCCATTTCGGCCAAAAAAAAATATGTTCCATTCCATGTGTTATTCCTAAAATAAATATCTATTTTATTTTTAAAATATACAAATTTTATTCACTGATTTTTATTAAATCAATTAAAATCTAAGCATTTATTTGATATAATCTTTCAAAATTATCATAAAAATTTGAGGGTTAAAAACACCTTTCAACTAGTTTTGTTAAAAAAGCCGGATTTGGGTCGATTTTTAAAACGGCCCCATTAAGATTTTACAGTTTTGCTAAAAAATAACTGTAACTAGTTTTATTTTAAACAGAATTGTTAACGCTCCTTTTTAAATGCAGCTAGCTCCCGCTCTTGCTCCTACCTTCTCCAAAGAGGTTAGCTCCCACTCCCGCTACTACATTTTTAAAAGGAGCTAGCTCCCGCTCCAAGTAATATAGTGCCGCTCCTTTGATTTTCATTTTTTTTAGAAGGTATACAAAACAAAATCATATTTTTATAATATTAAATGATATATCAAAATATTTGTAACTTTTATTAGCTTTTAAAAGTAATAAATTTTCTAAATTAGAATCTTACAAACATCCACGCCTCTCCCCTAAGACCTGTTTTGCAATGGTAAATAGGCACTCCACAGGAGCACTAGGGGGAAGCGGGGTATTGTATTTTATAAAGATATTTTTTTAATTCAGGGAATTTATCAAAAATAGTAATTTTGGTATCAATATTTAAAAAATATTTGTCCAATATATTATCTTCCTGATGATCAATTTCATGGAATCCAAAAAAAATTTCCAAATCAATTTGTATTTAAGAGAAAGATTTTTTACTTTTAAGTGCTTTTTTAGATTGAAGCTGCTCACTTTTGAAAATTATATATTATTTAAACACAAAAGACATTTTGCCCTTAAATTTGTTTGATCATTTGGATCAACATCTTTTAGAAGTTTAAAATATTTTTTGTATGATGGAAATGGAAATTCGATTTATTCATCTATGATCTCTAAATCCATAATATAAAACTATTTTTTAATTATATATCTATAAAATGAATATTAATTAATTTGACTTTCCGAAAAATTTTCAATATAAAAAGGAAATGTTTAATATTTAAAATGATTAGATGAGTAACCAATATAAAACTCGGCTAAACATTTAATAATGGATAAATTTAAATTAAATAAAATTTCATTTTTGTTGAATTTTAATTAATAAATATTGTTAATATTTAAAAAATAATTCAATTTATACATTTAATTTAAAGGAGAGGTGGAGTGGCGCTCCTCCACTCCAGCCCTAAAAGGAGCTATTCCCGCTCCCACTCCCCAATTTTGAAAAAATGTGGTGGCGCTCCAGGAGCGCTGCTCCTTAACAACTCTGATTTTAAAAATTACTAGTTATATTTTTGAAATGTAACTGCCAAAAGTAACTAATTACTTTTAAAAATATGTATGTATAAATCTAAATAATATATTCAAATAATTAATTTTATTTTTAATATGTTATAAATTAAATTTATTAATTTAAAATTTTGTTTAGGCTGCGTCCAAAATCTTAAAAATATAAATAAATAAATTTTGAAGAAAAAAATAACATAAGCTATTTTTAATGTAAAATAAAATGATGTCCAATTTCATTTTTCGGTATTTATAAAAATTTATTTTTTTAAAAAAATAATAATAAAAAATAAATTCGAATAAAAATTTATTTTTGAAATTTTTATAAAAAAATTAGTAAGTACAATTTTTAATGCTGTTAATTTTTATTAATCCAAACGATTTTAACCTTTTATATTAATATATTTTTTAGTATCAGAATATAATTTTATGGAAAGCATAAGAATGCACAGGAACCTCTGGTACAAAAATGACTTAAAATTCAGAGATTTTGTAGAAAATAGGAAAATTTGGGAGGAAATTGGAAAAACATCTAACATTATGATCACTATGTTCAGTCCCTTCAAATATTATATAATAAATAACTAATAATTGAATCATATCAAGCATTTAAAATATTTTTATTTTTTAAAACTTAAATGTGTCCAAAGTGTTTTGTTATTAATTTGCAAAAATTTTAGAATTTTAAGGATTTTTTAAAAACATTTTTGATACAGCCTTAAGTATCTGATTGTGTTCGCAAAGGATATTCAACAAGTAATATAATTTCCTGTCCAAATAGATTTTCGTTTCTTAAATTATTACATTGCTGGGTTTCATAATTTTGTAACCAATTTCAAGTAATAAACCTATTTTTTAATATTATATTTCTTTACAAATTTAGCACAATGTATTCCATATTTTTTGCCCTCAAGTTGCTGGCAATATAACATGTATTATTTTTATATTTTATTAAATTAGATCATAAAACTTAGAAGGAAAGATAAAGACTTAGATTATTTCAGAATTAAATAATTTTTGTATAAAATACTAAATTAGTAATCATTACTTACTAACAAGGAAAGACAAAGACTATGAAAGAAAAACAAAATAGATATCAAATATCATTTCCTTCAACAAGAGATTAATCAAATACCCTTCATTCTATAAGCTAATATGTTTTTAAAAAATGGGGAATTATCTAGAGTACTTTTGTCCTGGTCCTCTTGTCAAGGATTTTTTTGCCTTCTAAAAAAATAGGTAAATTCTATGATCTAAAGTGTTTTTCAAATTATACACTAGGATACATATATAATTAAATAAGAAATAATTTTTTCTAATACCCTTACTCTCATTATCACAATTTTTTTGATAAAAAAGACTCCAAAATTATACAGAAATATTTGCAACAACTGCATAAATATATATTATATTTGCAAATATTTGAGTTAAAAAAACATTAATTCTTAATACAAATCATAACCTCAAGTAGGGCTGGGAACCAATAGTAAAAACCCAATATTAACAAAATATTGTATTGGTATTGGAATTGGGTGTAAAATATTGGTATTGGTTTAAACAATATTTTCTATTTCTTGTATTGGTATTGCTATTGGTATTAGTTTATATTGGTAACTATTGGTTTATATTGGTATTGGTTTAAATTCAAATTACAAATTAAAAAAATAGAAATAGTGATTATAAAACCCTTAATTTCTAATTTTAAATAAACATGGGGAAAAAAATAATGATACCATAAAATCAGGGCTAAGAACCAACTCTTAAAATTTTACTGAATTCAAATTCTTTTTTTAAATTAGGAATTTATTAGACGATGTGAATATAAAAAATTTTGATTTAATCATGTATTTTTTGTATCAACAATAATAAACGTTTTGATTTTGAACCATTTTATTTATCACAAAGAACATAGCAAAATAAGTAAACTAAAAATGTAACATAACTGTCTATTTATACAAAATATAATGCAAAAGAATGATATAATTTTAATATAAGGGAAATAATTTTATGTATTTAAGAAGAATCTTGCATGCGCATTCAACATTTTAGGCACAGGCAAGCTTGTATAGTATGCTCATCTAGTGAACAACGTTGGTCTGTTATAACATACAATCCTTCTGAAAAAGCCCTTTCAGAGCTAGATGAGGTGGCCGGAATTGCTAGATAATCTCTGGCAAATTTTGATAATACTGGATATCTATTTTTATTTAATTTCCACCAATCTAATGGATTTGTATCATTGGAAATTATGGCTTCATCTACGTATTTACTTATTTCTAAGTTGTTATTATTATGAGGTTTCACCTGATAAATTTTGTCATAAAAGGACAATTTTTTGTTATTTTGTGCTTCATTTGTAAGTTCCGCTGAATTGTTATTATTTATTTTATAAATATTGTATTCATTAGTAAGATATCCAATAAGAGTTTCCATATTATTATGCTTTAATAAATGACTTGATAGTTTAAATCTTGGGTCAATCATTGTTGAAATAATAAAGAGGTGTTTATTAAAATTAAGTTTTGAGGCAGCTAAAGAAGCTGTCTTTAAAATAGCATTAGGATTATTATTATAACTCTCCACATGCTCAAAAATACTGGAATATAAAGGACTAATTGTTGAAATTGATGGAGTATTAGCACATGAGGACATTTCTGTAGCAAAATTAAATGGTTCCAGAAATTCTCGGTATATTTCTATATTATTCCATGCTAAGGCACTAATATAATTTTCTTGATTGGTATTTTGTAAATGATTAGTATATGTTGTCCAATAGGGTTTGAGCAATATTGCTCTTTCAAGCATTTGGTATGTTGAATATTAACGTGTTGGTATATCCAAAATTGGGTGAGGAAATTTTAAGTGTGGATTTTTTTCAAGATATATTTTTTCGAGTTTATTAAATTTAGATATAGAAAGTTTAAAAAATTTTTAAAAATTTCTTATTTTTTTTAAGTTGTATTTAAGGGTTCCAATGCAGCCACCAGCCAAATGTATAATATGGCAAAAGCATTTGCACACATTATCAAAATTATCTTTGTTTTAAAATTTTTAGAAATGCTAAATTATTACTTGCATTGTCTAATGTAATGCAAAAAAAATCAATTTCAAATTTTACTTTTAATACAGAATTAAAAATATTAATAGAATTATGTGCTGATTTAAAAGTAAAAAAATCTAATAAATGATTATTTAATTTAAAATCATTATCAATATAATGAATTGTTATTCCCATAAAGGGTATTTTATTTGGAGAGGACCAAATGTCCATTGTTAAGGAAAATTTA